AGAATACATAATTTCTAAGCCAGATTAAAGCAAAATTGTAAAAAAATCTTGAGGAATCTAATAAAACACAAAAACAGAAAAACTCCGGAAAGGATGAGGTGAACAAAAACAAAAAAAATGAAATGTTAAAATAAGCAGTTAGGTTGTTAAAGTACAAAAGCCTCAGTCTGACCTCTGCACTTCAGAAATCAACTAGTTAAGAGGCAAGAGAGAGTTAGAGAAAGAAATTTATTATGAAGATCAGGCTGTTGTTCTAAGTCCTTTCAGAGCTAATAACCAAGTGCAGAGTTTATATAAATATATTTTGGAAAAAGGAAGGGATCAAGAGATGGAGGGAGGGGGAAGGGGGGGCAAAGGGAGAATCCCAGCTCCGCAGGATGGATGTAATAATTATGTGCTGCAAACATATATTAATAAAAATAAAAAAGATGTTAATAATCATTTAATATCACCAAATAGAATCAATTAAAATTTCCAATTGCCTCCTTAAAAAATACTGTTTTAAATGGTGTTTAAATTGTTTTTGCATGCTGTAAGGGTCATAACAAAGCCATCCATTTAATGTTTTACAAAAGGAAATTTAAGGAAGTGTATTTTTAGCCACTGTAGGTGAGTGCTAGAGCAATCATTAAACCTGCAGTGGTCCATTTCTTTGACCCACAGTCAGATGTTATCTTAAGGTCCCCAGATATTCTGGTTTCTGTAAATTTAAAGAAAGATTACTAACCATGAGTTCTTATGACAAATGTTTCTCTTGTTCCTTTTTTTCTGGAATAGCTCAGTAGCAGTTAACATCTTAATCATTTAGGTGTGAATTTTCTTCAGAATTTTGAATGCTAGGCGAAAGTAAAGAAGAAAAAGCAAGTCTGCAAAGGACAGTTTGTAAAGGACAACTTAACCCCATTAGGCTGCTTCGCTGTTTTTAATTATAAAAAATAAAGAATAAACTATAAAATTAGATATTTTAACAATGGAAAATAAAATGCAGCTTTAAGCTATTTATAAAACTACCAGGTAAAATATTCAAATGCCCATGGTGTGTGTTTATTAATTAAAGAATAGCTAGATTATGTAATATTAGAATAAATAGAATTTAAGAAAAGTCCATTTTTTCTGGCCACGTATTCTCAAACCATATAAGGCAAAAATTAACAAACAAAACAAATCTCAATTATAGTAAGAGATCTTATTATAACTGTCTCAATCATTGTTCGGGTGGGAGGAAAATTATTACGGCCCTACTAAACTTAAACAACTAATTTAGTAAGGTTAGGCTTTTCTGTGCCTACTAAGCTTAGTTTGGCTGTGCTGGAATTTTCTGTGCCTACTAAGCTTAGTTTGGCTGTGCTGGAATTCCTATTTTCTCAGCCACACTTGGGCTTTGTCCCTTATAAAGAGTCACATGCATGCCATTCTCTTTGCAACCCAGATATTTCTGTTGTCATGGTTGATAGGGCCCCAGAGTGGTTTCTAAGTTCCTGTGTGGAATGAGGAAAGATCTGGACATGGCACTTAATGTTAAGGAAAAATCAGCAAAGTTTAATGAAGTTTACTTAGGCTCAGAGTGAGCAGGCTTGGGCCAGCGGAAAGAAAAATGGCAAGAGCACTGAATGTCTTGGGTTTAAGAATTTAAAATTTGGGGCTGGATTTAGGGTGTCTCCCATTGGTTCTTCCAGTTGTGATTGACAATTGCATTGCAAGGGTTCTGAGTCACGTCAGCTGTGTCTGTTGTGCCTGTACTTTTCCATAATTCATTCTACTATAATTGGATGTATGAGATGCAGTCCATATACATGAACCTTTAAAGATCTCAAGGTGAACAAAGGTTACTATAGGTCAGTGATGGTGAAAGTTTGAGAGCAGTGGTGGCAAACCTATGGCACATGTGCTGAGGCTGGCACACAGAGCCCTCTCAGTAAGCATGCTTAGCCAAGTTGCCAAGCATCAGATAACAGATATTTTTTTGCTAAACTGAAACCTTAGTATTCAGGTTTAAAGGCAGTGGTGGCACTTTGCAATGAAAAAGTGGGTTCTGGCTTGTAGTTTGTGTACTCAGTCTCTAATAGGTTTGCTATCACTGTCTTAGAGCTTTCAGTGATACAGACAGCCTGCTGTGGCATGTGTGCCATAGTTTGCCACCATGTCTGGGTCATGCTAGAGGATCAGGTACACATGTGTCTTACTTTGAGATTTCAGAATTTTCTGCCTCCAGGTAGGAGGCCTTGGGATGAAGATTAGGGGGTTGTCCGTGGAGTATTGCTCAGGTTCAGGTGAGTGGAGGAGAGTAGTTCCATAGCCCCATTTGTACTATGCATATTACTTCATTTCACTTCCCAGATTCCAATTTCCAGCTTTTCTTTATTTTTATCACCTTTCCTTCTTCCTTTCTTCCTTTTTACTTTTTGTCTTCCCTCCTTTCTCTAATTTCTTTCTTTTCACCCTTAAATATTATTATATATTTTTCTGATGATAGCAAAGGAAAATTAATTCGCTCTTTTCAACTACTAAAATCCACATTAACTAAATATTTTTAAATATCTGTCAATAATCAGTATAGGTTTTTATTGTTTTTAAATTATTGCTCTTTTATTATTATAATAAATTCAGTGTTAAGTCTTCAGATTTATTACAATCAGTCCACTTCTGAAAATGCTTATGCCTAAGTGGGTGATACTTAACTACATATGGATTAGTGAATATTTTTAACAGAATAAATCAAGTTTATTTTAATATTTGTAATTGCTGGATTCTTTTATTTTTTACATAAGGTCTGTGGTCATATTCATGCTTTTGTTATTAATTGAAGAAACAGTAATGAACCCTTTTTAGGACACAATGGATCTATCACTTGTTTTACAGGAGTATTTTTAAGGCATATGCTCACATACCTATAAGAATATAAAGTACTAAAGTAGGCAAAATTATAATTAGTAGGCTATTGGCCTTTTGACTTACATGATAGACAAAAAGCTTTCCAATAGTAGATAGAATTATAATTTAAAAGTTAACCAAAAAATTCTCTGAAAATACAGTTTTCTTTACAATAAATAAATATATAATAAATAAATGCAATCATTCGTGGTAGCTCATTTTCTAAAATAGTTTGTGACTACTTGTTAATAATGTACCTAAACATTATAGATGATAATGCCCTGTTTCCTATATTACTTAATCTCTTCCACATTTTTGAAGTTTTTTTTTATGACCTTTGTGATTTGAGACAAGAAAAAGCTATCAAATTATATTCTATAATTAATTTAGAATTTTAGAAATCCTGGAATTCTCAAGTACTGTCAATTGTCTATTGGGATATTACAGAACTGAATGGATGTTCTAACTTTCCATCCTATTTCAACCAGATTAACCCTAGGCTTATTTGTTTTATATATTGAAATAACTCTGTCTTACACATAGTATCTCAAAGTCAAAAAATAAAGTATTAGAAAGTAATTGGCCAAATCTTATTAATTTAAAGAGATTAAAAACTTGAGTTCTAGCCAGGCTTAGTGGAACAGGCCTGTAATCTGAGCATTAAGGAAGCTGAGGCAGGAAGATTGCTGCAAGTTTGAGGCCATCCTAGGCTACATAGTGAATTCAAAGCCAGCTTGAATCACAGAGCAAGACTCTGTCTCAAAACAAAACAACAATTAAAAGAAAACAGTAGGGGCTGGGGATTTAGCTCAGTGGTTTCGCTGCTTGCTGTGCAAGCGCAAGCGCAAGGACCCGAGTTTGATCCCCAGCACCAAAAAAAA